GGAATGCCTAGGGAATCCATTGTGCCAGTAAATGGTTCCTGCTCAGTTGAGATCAGGGCCTCATTGTGCCAGGTGCTCCATGTAGTAATGGGAGTTATATTTAGAGATGTTCCCTACCGGGAGGGAACTGGGAGATGGTCCATCAGTTAGGAAGCAGCTAGTTAGATAGATCAAGGGTCTGCAGAGGTTGCCTACTGCTCCACAATACAGTTCATTGTTTAGTTTTTGAATGCTTATGTTTGAGCACAGTAATCACTATGATGTGCACACTTAGTAAGAGAAGACGCTGCCCCACTCAAGGTCAGAGCCCCATTGCACAGGTCAGCGAAGCTGAAGACATTTCACGCTTCCAGGAAGGTTAAGGTGTTTTGCCACATGCCTACATGTCTTTTTGGAGCTGCTGGCAGACCAGTGTTCATTCTGCAGTGTTCATTCTGTTATATAAGGATCACCCAGTCTGTTCAATGTAAATAGCAGAGGGGAATTGTAAGCAGGGGATAGTGTATATGATGTTAGTAGATCTGCATGTGAATGAACCTCAGAAGTTATAATCTGTGTTACTTGGTCCTGTGAGAATGTGGTCTGTGATGCTGTTGGGACAGCTGGCATCTAAGTCCGTTGCAAGTTCTGATGCCTTGTTGAGAAGAGGACTTAAGTAGGCTATTGCTTGAGAGATGCCATTTGTGGTTGAAGGCCTGCTTATAAGCTAAGATAGGTTTGTCCCCCATGGCTACCTTGAGACGGTTATCCTTATCCAGAAGGGGCTGGAAGTCATTATTATGTATCTGAGGTGTTCAAGTTGGGCAATCTCCAGCTAAATTAGCTTTTGTGACCTCTTTTTATTTATATGCTTCCTTACTTGTAAGCCACTCCCAGCACTGCCCTCTTCCCCACCCTCTCCTCGCTTACTCCTTCCATACCTACCTTTTGTATTCAAATCTCTTTCCATTCTATACACTGCTCTGTGCATGTCCTTTCACAGCATGTGATGAAGTGAGCTTCAGCTCATGGTAACTTATGCTATATGCATCTCTAATTTATTTAGCCTATAAGGTGCAACTCTACTCTGCTTCTGCTTGACTTCAGACTAATACAGCTTGACTACCTCTCTCTGGTCATGTGGTACTAGCCACTGGTTTAAGCAGACGCCTAGCTTCCAAAGAGTCTGCTCTAACCAGTTCATCAATCCCTACCTTTCTAATGTAATGCATTACAAACAGGATAGCTCTTCACCTGGATGAGTCAGCACTGGCTATGGCCCTTCTCTGGGAAATCAGGGTTGGGGCTCTGATGTACTACTTTCCCTACCCCCATAGGCTACTGGTAAGAGGTGCGCAGGGGTACATGTGCACCCCCTCTGATGGGGTTGGTGCCCCCCCAATGGCCGACACTGATGCTGTCGGTAGGGCTGGTGCCCCCCCGACAGGGTCGGCAGCTTCCGCGGGTGCCCTCCCAGATTCAGGAGGCACCAATCACTCATGACTACCCCCCTGCTCCAAACTCCTATGCAAGAAGTGAGGACGTGGAGGAATATGTCTGCAGGTGCTAGTGGGAAAAGGTTTTATAGCAGGGACCCTGTTTGGTGTCCCAGGCAGGGAAGAAATAGAGCAGATAGGCTGATTCCTCAGCATCAGAACCACATAGCTGTCTGGCTGCATGTGGCACAGTGTGTTGCATAGCTGCATAAGCCTAAGCCTCACATTAGCTTTGCTGCATATATGAGGGCTTCAGAATTGGTGACAGTGATTGAAAAGCCATGGCAATCAGCTCTGTGGGCACCTGGGCGTATTCACCAGACCTTTCCCCTAGTTCAGCAGCTGCGCTTGCTTTTGGTTAAGGGAAGTCCATTGGCTCCTGATTTGATCCTGTGCAAACAGCCCCCCACCTCAACAGGACTCCCCTGCTTGAATTTAGAGTGATCATTCCCCCACCCAAAGCTGTCCTTAGGGGCAGAGCCTGGGGCATTTCTCTCGGCACAAAATTAATCATCTCCTCTGAAGCTTTTTCTGGCTCTTGTATAAGGTGACTGTAATGATAGAAGTTATAATTTAGAGAAACTCCCTTAAAAGATTGCAGAGGTTGGAAATTGGGAGATAGTCTCCAAGTCAAGTTAGCATGTAAGAGAGAGGGAGAAAAGGTCTGCAGAGGTTGTCTACTGCTCCACAAATAAAGTTCAAAGTTTAGTTCTAAAAGCAATCAGGACTTGTGGTAGAGGTGATATGTTTTATTAGATCAACTAGATTTTTGCAAAAAAAATTCTTCAGTTGCAAGCTTTAGGGTACATGCACCCTTCATCAGGCATCAGAGAAAAAGATTGTAAAAGTTATCCTGGGTATAAATTAAAGTTCATATTTCATAGGAGAGTTGAAAGTGTGATAAAATGTCCTGTTTGGAAAAGTTCATTTTTTATGCAGACTAGGCTCAGAAAAGTTGGAATGGTATGTTTACCTCAAAGTTGTTTGGTGGTAAGCAGGATGTATTCATATTTCCTTCTGGTTATAGTGTTTCATATTAATAGTTTAGTTCTACTCATTCACATATGCCTGTGTTTATTGAACCTGGTAATTACTACAGTGAGGGCCCCCAAGCTGACCACCATTCCTGGTGCATCTTTCCCATGCAGGAAAGAGCACATGTGCCCTGCCCTGCATGTGTGGCCCAGCACAGGACAGGAAATTGTGCACACCAGCCCTGTGCCAGTAGCTGAGGGCATCTTGGATCCCTGAGACACCCTTCCTGCCTTGTCTGTCTTTAAACAAGCAGCTTGTGAAGCAGACACTATACCATGTCTGTGGGTATAACACAGCCATGTATGTGGCTATAACAGGAAACCTACGGTTCCCATTACTGAGAGAGAAAATGAAGGCAAGCTGCACTCAGGTAGTAAAGAGGAGGGCCTAGCTATAGAGTGATAGGAGGCCAGAGTCCTTTAAATGTGAAGTAGCACAGGAGAGTAACCTGGGGAAGCAGCAAGAGAACAACTGCTGCTATAGGTCATCCTGCAGGCTGGTAAGCTAAGCATGTTAGAGAGCACCTGCAGGCTTCCTAAGGAGTCACATGACTGGATGGGGGCAGGGCTCTGGGGCATATAAACCAAAGACAGCCAGAGCAAACAGTTTGGCCCTGGAAGCTGAAGGGAAAGGAGCTCTATGGGGAGCTGCCTGCTGCTGATGGACTGTGAGCATGCTATGCCCGGAGACAGAATGTGAAGGGGGTGGGGGCTAGTGGCAGATGAAGGCCCAAGGCTGGGGAGCAGTTTTCAGTATACAGCCTGGGATGTGGGGGGAGGCAAAGGTTTAGTTATAGCCAGAGTGCTTATATTTTTGGTTTGGGTTGTGACCAGGGGTTTTGGGTGGGACTAGAAAGGGGTGGCTTAGAGGTCCCATTAGTGCCTGAGGGGCCTGTGACTGCCTTGAGCTCTGCCAGGGATTAAGCTCAAGGTACATACAGGAGCCAGGGAGCCCAGAGTTTCTCTGGAGGGGCAGAAACAGGTCTAGATAGCCCACAGCTTAGAGGGGTGAGAACAAGGACCAGGGAGCCCACAGCCTGAGACAGTATCGCGCAACCTATGGCAAAGCTATTTGAGGACTCATGGCACTTGGGAGGAGTCCTAGAAGACTGGAAGAGGGCCAAATGTGGTGCCTATTTTCAAGAAAGGGAGAGAGGAGGACCCAGGGGAAGTACAGGCCAGTCAGTTTGACTGCAATCCTTGGTAAAATCCTGGAAAAAATTATCAAAGAATCCATTATAGATAGGCTAACAGAAGGCAGGATTCCAAAGGACAGCCAACATGGCTTTGTTGCAGGCAGGTCATGCCTGACCAACCACATGTCCATCTACAATCAGGTAACTCGCCACCTGGATAAGGGAAATGACGTTGATGTCACATACTTGGACTTCAGAAAGGCCTTTGACTTGGTTTCTCATGATGTCTTCTTGGTAAAATTGGGAAAATGCTGCCTTGACTACTTTACAGTTTGGTGGCTAGGTAACTGGCTCTGAGGTAGGACCCAGAGAGTATTAATAGACGGAACTGAGTCTACATGGTGAAAAGTGACCAGTGGCGTCCCTCAGGTTTCAGTGCTTGAACCAGTGCTTTTCAATATGTTCATCAATGTTTTCACAGATTCATAGATTATGAGGCTGGAAGGGACCTCGGAAGATCATCGAGTCCAGCCCCCAACTGGGGTCAGGTGACCCCAGCAAGGTGACTGTCCAGTCTCCTCTTGAAGATTTCCAGTGTAGGTGATTGCACCACCTCTGGAGGGAGATCATTCCACAGTCTGGACACTCTAGCTATGAAGAAGTTTTTCCTAATGTTGAGCCTGAAACGGTCTTCTAGAAGTTTGTGAGCATTACTCCTGATTTTCCCCAAGGGTGCCCTGGTGAACGGTTGTTCACCGAGCCATTGATTTATGTCCCTGGTGTAGTGGTAAGCTGCTACCAAGTTCCCTCTCAGCCTTCTCTTTTTCAGGCTGAAGAGTCCCAGGTCCCTCAGCCTTTCCTTGTATGGCTAGCTGTGCAAGTCTCTGATCGTATGGACGGCCCTTCTCTGGACTCTCTCGAGCTTTATCATGCCCCTGTTAAAGTGCGGGGCCCAGAATTGGACACCGTACTCCAGCTGTGGTCTCACCAAAGCTGAGTAGAGTGGAAGAATCACTTCCTTGGTTTTGCTGGAGATGCATTGATTGATGCATGCCAGAGTATTATTTGCCCTGCTGGCTACAGCGTCGTACTGCCATCTGATGTTCATACTGTGGTCTATTATTACCCCCAGGTCCCTTTCATTCGTAGTGCTGGTCAGATTGGCATTGCCAAGCCTGTAGGTGTGTAGGGGATTGTTTGTCCCCAGGTGGAGCACTTTACATTTCTTGACGTTGAATTTCATCTGGTTCCAATACACCCAACTTGCCAGACTGTCTAGATCCGCCTGTATCTACAGCCTATCTTCAAATGTGAACATGCTTCCCCATAACTTGGTGTCGTCTGTGAACTCAGCCATTGAGCTCATCACCCCTGTATCCAAATCATTGATAAAGATGTTGAAAATCACTGGACCAAGCACCGACCCCTGAAGAAGGCACTCCTTCTCCATTCTTCAGGAATTTTTCTCCTAAGATTTTGCTGAGGAAAGTGATAACCACCTTTGTCCAGCTCAGAGTTACTCAGGATGCACACCAAGATAAGGGCTTCTATTTCTACTTCCCATCTCTCCATATCTCTCAGCCTTTACCAGTGCCTGGCACTGATGTCAACCTGCTGCAGACATCTAGGATTACATATTCAGAGATAAATGAACATCTTGGGTCACACAACAGACATCCTTGTTCTTTCCAAGCCTCCACTGAGCCCATCCTGGAATCTGAGCACACAAAAGCTTACCTGCCCCAGGATAGGTTCTAGACCAGGGGTGGGCAAAATACAGCCCGTGGACTGGCTTCAGCCCACCAGGCCATTCTATCCAGCCCGTGGGGCCTCTAAAAAATTTAGAAAATATTTATCTGCTCTTGGCTGCCAGTCAAAGATGACAGGAGCCAGGGGCAGTAGGACCCAGGGGAAGACAGTGGCAGAATTATTCATAGATTCATAGGGATGCCGCCGCCCCAGCCACGCTCACCCCCAGCTACTCCCCTGCCTTCCTGCCCCAACACTTCCAGCACCAGGTGGCTCCAAGCTACATGGCTGGACCACGGGAACACGGGCCTGCACCATTACCTCAGGGTGTGTGTATGTGTCTGTGTGTTCATAGGGTGAGTGCCACACCCCCCCCCACCATACACATGCACCCATACCCCACCTCGCATTACCATACACACAGACCCCCACACCCACATCCCCTCACACACCCCAGTTACCCCCCACACACAGCCCCCCGCAAACCCCATACCCACACACCCCACATATTCACACCCACATGCTCCCTCACCCCACACACCCACAGCCCCCCACAATATACAGGAATAGGACTTCATTTTAAGCTATTATATACAATCACCTTTATGTATACTACACAAACACATGTAAACCAGAACAAAAATATTTTTTTAAATCAAATTAATGAATGTTTTAGATGTTTGCTTTTTAGAATATAATTTGGTATTTTCCTGGTTCCAAGATGGCAAATCCCCTCACTGAAAGGAGTACTTCTCGGGGTAAGGGCAGGGGCTTCTGGTGGCAAAGGTCAGGGGTTAGGGGGCGGGACTTCTAGTTGCAAGATAGCGACCAGGGAGCAGGTAACCTGTCAAAGGGCGGGGATACCCATGTGGCCTTTGACAGCTTGCCAAAACTGGGTAAGTGGTCCTCCACCCAAAATAATTGCCTGCCCCTATTCAAGACTAATTTCATCCCTAGGGAGGTCAGATAAGATGCAGCCACAGGGATGCTGATATTCCTTTTGATATCCCTCAGTTCTCCATCACAGTCTTGCTATACCTGTAGGATCTCCTCCACTGAAAACCCAATTCTCTCCTCCTGGCAGTGGGGATGTCAGCTGATGTCCTTCTCCAAGGTAAGAAACCATGAACTTTTTTACGATGAAGTAAAATAAAGTGATGAATCTTGATCTGTGCAAAAGATAGGACTAGGTGGCCTTTGAGATCCCTTTCAGCCCTGTGATGCTAAGATAGTAAATACAGAAGATCCTCAATCCTGGCTACTCCAAAATCTCTTACTCCTAAGGGCTTCTCTCAAATATTGGATGATCTCCTTCACCTGAAGCAAGCAGGCCTCATTTATTTTGTCAGTGAGAGTTCACCTGGCTGCCATGTTACCTGTCACTCACCTATCCAAATATATATAGCATTCTCACACCTTATAGTTGCCAAGGGTTCATTCCATGTTTATCCATATCCATCAAGTCGTCACATTCTGCCATCAGGATAGTCCAGTCTGATTTGCAGGACCACTGTCTGAATACGTGAAGGACTTGTCCCTTCATCACCTGTCCCTCAGCTCTTTGATCTTGGTGGCTGCCAGCTCAGCTAATACAACTGAAGCCCTTATGGCTCAGCAGCTGTACAGTGCCTCACAACGATAAGAAGTTGGTCATGACATCACAAATTCCTGTCCTGAGCATCTTCTGACCTCAGACTGTACAATTCAAACAACCTGCCCATTTCTTTGTCAAGCTCTATTCCCAGCTGTTGGCCAGTGATAGCAAATGAATTTTGATGCTGATAAATGCAAAGTAATGCATAGCAGAGTGAACATTTGAACTAACCATACTTCTTACAGGATTCTAAATGAACTGTGTGATCTCGGGGACAGGCCTGGATATCACTGTGAACTTCTCAATGGAACCCCCAAATTATACTATCTATGCCTACTGCCAGATTTTGGTACCTTTCTCTTGGGCAGCTGGGGCTAGCCATAGTCAGAATCAGGAATAAGGCTTAATCCAGCTTCCAGTTGGCTAGGGCTCCTCTTGGACTCTCCTTTTTCAGGCCTGGGAATGGCTAATATGTCACATAAGTAGGATCCATATGGGCAGAACTTGCAGAAGAGTGAATTATTATTTTCCTATAAGGATTATGGCTCTAAGACATTTGGCTGTGTGCATCCTGACTTACCCTCTTTTTCTGGTACTTGAGTCCAGGATATGCAAGCTGCCTACGCAGGGCCAGCAGACACTGTGGACAAAGTGTTACAAACCTAAATGCACAAGGCATACACACAGTGACAAGGATCCAAAGAGACAGATATTCATGGTAACTGTGAGCCATAGGGTTAGTACCAGTTCTTTCCATCCCACATACTGACTTGTGGGTCCTATATGGAAGGTGAGAAAACATTCACCTGAGCACTTGTAGGAGACTGGTAATTATTTTTTCCTTGTCTCTCCATTACAGTAGAACTTCTCTGCCCAGGCTGACCTAAGCCAAAAAGCAAAGGACAGAAAAGATGTAGTTTGTCTCTGTCAGACCCTAAAAGTAACAACTGGATTGTAGCAGCTGTAGCTCCAGAGCCAGCATCAGCAAGAACCCCAAGCTAGGGCTTCATAGGCTCCTCTAATGCTGGATGGTGAACTTGGATACCTCAGACTGTGTGGAGACCTGCAGCCTTTAGGATGAAAGCAGCATTTTAATCTTCTAGCAGCACCATAGTTTAGCAAACAGGAAAAGGGGAACTTTATCTGCTCTTGAATGGCAACACAGTATTTGGGAACCAGTACAAGCTGGGATATGCCATGAAAATCAGGCCTTGTTAGAACCTCACTGGTATAATGATAGAAGTTGTAATTTAGAGACACTCCCTCACTTAGACTCCAGAAGTTGGGAATTGGGAGATGTTCCTTCAGCTAGGGTAGTTAGACAGATAAAGGGTTTGTAGTGGCTGCCTACTGCTCCATAATAAAGTTTAGGTCTTCTCATTCATGTATGCCTATGTTTATTGAACCCAGCAATCATCACTAATGGTGTTAGAAGTGGTGAATGAGACAGAACCTGAAGGAATTTGAGATTCTAATGGAATAAGAAGTTGGAATCTGAGAGCAAGTGGAGCAACACTGCTGTGTGGAAGGACAAGGACCACTACTGTAAGTGATCTTCCTGCACGGTTATATCCTAAGGACAGTTGGTTATGGAAGTATTGCAACCTCCACCTGATGCTCTACTGTCAGAGAATATAGCAGAGAACTGGAGGGTGTTCAGACAAAGTTTGAGTGTTACCTAGCAGCCACAGGGGCAGAAGAGAAAAATGACAAAGCAAAATCCTCAGTTTTCTTGCATACTGTGGGGCAAGAAGCCCTGGCTCTTTATAACACCTTTACCTTTGTGAGAGGCCAAAATAGGCAATGGAGTGTAATACTGTCCACTGCATGCCAAAAAAGAAAGACTCTTGAAAGATACTGATTTTTATGTACAAACACACAAGAGAACAAAATATAGATCACTTTTTACTGAATTTAAGAGAATGAATGAGAACTGTGCTTTTGGGAACGTGACAGAATCTCTGATTAGAGACAGATTTTTTGTGGCATTGCACAAGACAGACTACTGCATGAAAGAGATTTGTATCTAGAAAAAGATTATCCTAATATGCAGGGCAGCAGAAATTGTGAAGGCCTAGGCTACAGTGCTGAATGCATCAAAAGAGGTCATACATGTAATGTGCATGAATGAATATGACCAAAAAAAGCCACTTCACAGGTTGAAATTTTCCATTGGCAAGAATGCTAAGGGGGAGAGAGCAACCAAGTAGATGTTCACCAAGTGCAGAAGGCAACATGGCCCTAAACATGGTGTTGCATTTGGAAAGCTCTCCTTTAACTGTAACAAGAGAAACCATTTTGCCAGGTGTTGCAGATCCCAGAAAAAATATCTCAAGTGCATATAGCTGAGAGCTTACAACGATCATTTTATATAGATCTGGTAGAACCAAGCACAATTAATGAGAGGGACTGGCTTTCACCAGTGAAAGTGCAAGGAACAATCATAGGCAGACAAGGTTCTTTGGGTAAATGTGGTTCTTTGATTAGACCAACTAAATAGTTGGAAAAATTGTTCTTTGCAAGCTTCTGGGTACAAACACCCTTCTTTGTATCCAACACCTTGGAAAGAATTTTTCCAACTATTTAGTTGGTCTAATAAAATATCTCACATTTACTCAAAGAACCTTGTCTGCCTATGTCTTTAGACCAGTGGTGTCCAACCTTTTAAAGTTGGAGATCACCTTTGGAATTTAAAAGGAACCCAAGATCTATCCCCCCTGCCCAACAGATAGGTCTTTGAGGAGGGAAGCAGGGAGGGGAAAGGGCTGGAGTGGGGAGGCGCAGATTGAGGCCCCAGCCCTAGCCCCACTCCCTCCCTCACCACTGGGGCCTTGATCTGCCCCCTCCCCAACCGGTGGTGAGGTAGGGAGTGAGGCAGGGATAGGGGCAAGCCCTGCACAGCTGGAGCGGGGCAGGGTGGGGGATGGAGCTGTGAGCGGCTTGTCTGAGGGGTGCGGGGAGGGGGGAACCTGCAGCCCGGGAGGGCAAGGTGAGTACGTGCCCCCAGATCTGCATGTGGGGTGGGCTGTGGCCAGAGTGGCGCTGTGCCCTTCCCAGCAGAAGTGCTTTGTCATGCTGTGCTTGGGCCAGGTGGTGGTGGTGCTGGCAGCAGGGGTTGGGGGGCTACCATGAATTTTGGGGTGGCTGTAGGCCTCCCCTCCCCCATGGCACCTCTCCCAGGACCGTTACCACTGCCCAGCCCAAGTGCAGTGCAACCAAACATCCCCATCGGAAATAGTGCGGCACCATCCCGCCCCCAGCCCACCCTGCTCCACCCTGCGTGCAGATCTGGGTGCACCCACCTTCTCCCCCATGGCCTCCAAGGCTGCATGCTCCCCCCTCCCTGCACTTCCCAGATGAGCCGCTTGCAGCTCCATCACCTGCCCCACCCCAGTTGTGCAGGGCTTGCCCCTGCCCTTGCTCCACACCCTGCCTCACAGCTGCTGCAGCTGCCCATACTGCCCCATGTTTGGGGGTGGCACATATCCCCCGATCTGTGCGCGGCAGATGCATGTGGCATCGGGTCGCTCCCAGGTCAGCTGCAGCAGGGCTCAGGGCGCAAAGCCCAGCCTGCAATGGCAGTCCCTCTACAAATGGGGGGACACGTGCCCCCTGGAGCCTCCGCTGGGTTGCAAACAGCGGCGAGAGCTCCTCTCCACCCCTGACGAGCCGCCCAAGCTTGATCCTCCCACCACCTATCTGAGGCCCTACTCACTTTACGGGCCTCTACTGTACTCTGTCCCTCACCATGGGAGCCTCGATCTGGCTCCTGCCCCTTCCCTTCCTGTACCAGCTGATCTGCTGGGCTGGGGAGGGCACGTGCACGCATGCACACACACGCTCAGCCCCCCCTAGCCCAGGATCGACTTCAAGAGGCTCCAGGATTGATCTGTCGATCCTGATTGACTGGGTTGGTGACCACTGCTTTAGACCAGCACAGCTACAACCAACACTCCAGGAACAATCATTTCATTTAAATTGGACACGGAAGCTCAGGTTATTATTTTACCAGATCATGAATCTAGAGAATGTAAATTGAGACCAAAAGTGAGTCCAACAAATAACAAAATAACTGAGAGTTTAAAACAGAGCACACAAACTCCCATTTACTAAAGCAGGCAGGGAGGTGACAACAATTTTGGGTTTCGCAGCTTATGAAAAAATGATTATAGTTACGTGTGTGTTTGCAGTGCAAGACACAACATTCATGCCTCCTAATGAACCTCCTGGTTGTCATGGCCCAAATCTGGATAGTTTTCTTAGGATGAAACCAACTATTCCAGAGTACAAGAAGCAATCATGTTCCTATGGGAATAAATGTATCTATGGACACAAACACAAATACCATCATGCAGAAAGAGGAAAAACGCCTCAGCGGTCTGTAGCTAATGTACTTGGTGCTATGTGTAGAAGTGCAGCTGCCAAAAGTGCAAGTCAGTCAGATACTAGTATAAGGACTCAAGTCTATCAAGACTTGGAAGAAAAGCTTTCCACCAAAAGCAAATTGGAAACTGGATCTGATACTGTGTTTGTCTGGGAACAAAATGAAACCTAACTAACAGAGAATTGCTCAAAGAGCTGCAGAAAAGGGGAAATAGGGAAGTGAGCAGTAAAGACTCATTTCAGTGATGTACTAATAACCTCTCCTCTGTAGATGGGTGTTAAACAATTTATGTGTTAATTGATTTTTTAAAATTATTGTTCAGTGGGAAGATGTAATGGTAGAAGTTATAGTTTAGAGACACTCCCTTATTTAGAAAACTACAGAAGCTGGGAGTTGGGAGATGGCCCTCAGTCAGGGTAGAGAGAGACAGAGGTTACCTACTGCTCCACAATAAAGTTTAGTTCTCATTCCTGTATGCCTTTGTTTATTGAACTTGGTGATCATTACAGCTAGTATCTTTGAAGCTGGGTAAAGTACCTTTCTATAGAAATGCTGGATGGAGTGTGTGGAGACAGATCTCACCACCTTCCTGACATGAATGCCAGCTCTAAAGCAGGGATGGGCAGCCTCTGTGGCACACAGCAGATTGGGGAAGGAGCAGGCAGCACAGTGGGGGATAGGACAGGGAGCAGAAAGCTGAGCATCAGATTTGGTGGGGAGCAGAAAACAGAGCAGCAGATTTCCTTGTTCTCCTTAGTCAGGGAACATAAAATACAGCAGGAGATCAGGCAGGGGAAGGGGATTGGATTGGCACTCAGGAGGGTGTGAGGCTTAGGTTGGGACACACCTCTCAAGAAATTTGCCTCCCCGTTACTCTAAAGCATTTCATAGTGCTTTCACAGGGAGCTAAGAAGTTCACCTGCTTTTGAGAAGGCTTCTTAGGTCACATGGCTCTAATTCTTTCTGCCAGCCTCTAAAAAGCCCTTCTTTATTCCTTTCTGTGTTGTCTTGTTCATTTGCTGTTATGTGTTATGTTTTTTAAATGTTGTAACTTTGTGTGCCTACCCAGGCACCATGTTTACTTTTAGTTTGGTCCCTGGTCAGAACATTAGTTACCATAGATTCATAGATTGTAAGGCTGGAAGGAACCTCAGAAGATCATAGAGTCCAGCCCCCTGCACCAGGCAGGAAAGACCCCAGCCAGGTGACTGTCCAGTCTCCTCTTGAAGATTTCTAGGGTAGGCGATTGCATCACCTCTGGAGGGAGCTTATTCCATAGTCAGGATAGTCTTTCCTAATGTTGAGCCTGAAACGGTCTTCCAGGAGTTTATGGCCATTACTCCTGGCTTTCCCCAAGGGTGCCCTGTTGAACAGTTGTTCTCTGAGCCCTTGATGTATTCCCTTGATGTAGTGGTAAGCTGCTACCAAGTCCCCTCTCAGACTTCTTTTTTATGGACTGAAGAGTCCCAGGTCCCTCAGCCTTTCCTTGTATGGCTTGCCGGGCAAGTCTCTTATCATATGGGTGGCCTTCTCTCAAACCTTACCACATCTTTGTTAAAGTGTGGCATCCAGAACTGGGCACAGTACTCCAGTTGGGGTTTTGCCAATGCAGTCCTCCAGTTGGGGTCACTTCCTTGGTTTTGCTGGAGATGCATCCGTTGATGCATGCCAGAATATTATTTGTCCTGCTGGCTACAGCATTGCACTGCCGGCTCATATTCATACTGTGGTCTATTGTTACCCCCAGGTCCCTTTCATTCGTGGTTCTAGTCAGTTTGGTGCTGCCAAGTATGTAGGTGTGTAGGGGGTTGTTCATCCCCAGGGGGAGCACTTTACATTTCTCAATGTTGAACTTCATCTGGTTCTGACTCACCCAACTTGACAGCCTGTCCAGATCTGCCTGTATCTGTGACCTACCTTCAGGTGTGACCACGCTTCCCCATAACTTGGTGTTATCCACAGACTTGGCCAGTGAGCTCTTCACCCCAACATCCAAATCATTGATGAAGAAGTTGAAAAGTACTGGACCAAGCACCGACCCCTGCGGGACACCACTTCCCACTTCTCGCCAGGATGACACATATTCGTTCATTAGGACTCTCTGGGTCCTACCCCGTAGCCAGGTTCATTCCCACCTAACTGTCTTGCAGTTAAGCCCACAATCCTCCAATTTTCTCACAAGAACCTCATGGGATACCAGATCAAAGGCTTTTTGGAAGTCAAGGTATACAATGTCAACCTCCTCTCTCATCCAGGTGGCGAGTTGCCTGATTGTAAAAGGAGATGAGGTTGGTAAGACAGGACTTGCCCACAACAAAGCCATGCTGGCTGTCATTCAGAATCCCACCTTCTGGAAGCCTATTGCACATAGACTCCTTAATGAATTTTTCCAGGACTTTCCCTGGGATAGAAATTAGGCTAATTGGCCTATAGTTACCCAGGTCCTCCCTTTTCCCCTTTTTGAAGATGGGCACAATATTGGCCATCTTCCAGTCCTCAGGGACCTCTCTGGAGCGCCACAAATTTTGGAAGAGTTTTGCCAGGGGCTCTGTGATGACTTTGGGCAGCTCCTTCAGCACTCTTAGATGGAGTTCATCTGGTCCTGCTGACTTATGTATGTCTAATTTCTTTAATTGATCACATACCAGTTCTACAGCAATAGTAGGAAGGCAGTCATTCCTGCCCTGTTCCTTCTGTACCCCATCTGGCATGATTTTTCCCTTGGCCTGGTGAAATACTGAAGCAAAGTAGTAATTCAGGAGTTCAGTTTTCTCCTGAGTGCTGGTAACCAGCTGTCCTGACTTCTTGAGCACTGGCCCCACACTTCTATTTGTTTTCCTCCTATGCACCTAAAGAAGGACTTCTTGTTCTTGATTCCTGTTGCTAATCTAAGCTCAATAGCCTTTCTAATTTGTTCCCTACAAGCATGGGCCATTGTTGTATAGTTCTCCTTGAGGCCTGTCCCTGCTTCCATTGTTTGTATGCCTCTTTCTTCTTTCTTAGGAGGACCATGATCTCCCTGTTTAGCCAAGAGGGCTTCCCAGCCCTTCTGGTACCTTTCCTCCACGTAGGAATGGACTTCCTTTGTGCTTCCAGGATCATGTCCTTAAGGAACGACCACTCTTCATACACTCCTTTTGCCTTCAGTCCCTGGTCCCGCAGCGCTACCCCTACTAAGTGACCTGAGCTTGCTGAAATTTGCATTTTTGAAGTCCAAGTCTTCAACCCTGCTATCAGATTTGCCTGTCTTGCGACAGACAGTGAACGTGATGGTTTCATGGTTACTGTTGCCTGGGCTACCCTCTGTATTTAAGTCGGTCACCAGGTCGTCTCCTTTGACCAGGACCAAGTCTAGGCGAGCATTACGTCTGGGTGGCCCATGCACCTCCTGAGCCAGGAAGAGCTCTTTGATGCAGGTCAGGAAGGAATGCAACCGGTCCAACTTGGCTGAGTGTTCCTTCCAAGAGATGTCCAGATAATTGGAGTCGCCCATGATGACCATGTCCCATGCACGTGGGACCTCTGCCAGTTCTCAGGTGAACTGTAGCTCAAGTTCCTCACCCTGGTTTGGTGGCCTGTAGTATACACCTACAGATAGGTCCCTCTCTCCACGCCCCCTCCAGCTTGACCTCTCCCTCCCCTCCCAAGAAGACTTGGCCCAAGATATGTGAATCTGTCTCCTGTCCCTCTCCTGGTGAAAAAGAGTCAGGAGTCAGTGTTGCCCTTTCTGACTGAGATAACCAAACTCATTCAAGGGGAAGAGTTTTCTCACACCTACTCCACTAACAGCAAAGCAGTCCATCTTGGCTTCATCAGGGGTCCTAGTTTCAGGAAATGTACTGAAATTATATAACTCCTTCCTAGAGAGATATACCCCTTCTACAAGACACATCATTAAGATAATCTCGTCTCACTCTAGGTCTGATTAGCATTTATGTGTAGCCACAAGGAGGACTGATGAGAACATAGGCTTATGTGCCAGCAAAATGCAGAGGATACACAACTCTTATCTCTCTTTTATAATATATGACCATAAATGTTGCCCAGAAGTTCTGCAGCCTCCTAATGCAACCTGCTTACTCTGCAACCAACATATTTCATCTTTAGAAGAACTAGCAGCCACATTACCATCTCCTCTGGCTGAAGGTGTATGCCCACAATTGGTGAAGTCAGTCCACAGTTTTGAAGTACTTTAGATTCCTTGCTTCTGCAGAGTTCAAATAGAAGGACCTAAATGTAACTCATCCTACCTTCTATGGCTAACTTAAAGGATCCTGCCCCACCCTGGCATACAGTGACCCAGTCTCATAAATACACATGCTTCT